TACCCTCCTATGGCAGAAATATTACAAAAGAGTGGCACTGAATTTTAATTTATAAAATCTCTAATCTTACAATATCCTGTGGAGAAGATTTACACCTTTAAAATAATTATTCACGTATAGAATTTCTACTCAGCAATATGAGGCATGAGGTGGAGATTACAAGTTTTTCCCCAATTTAAGTACTTGCTTCGAGTCAATAAATTAAGGTTGTGTTTTAAATGTGAGCATTTTGCTTTGTTTCTTAGATTCTTATCTTTTTTTAGTTTGAGGTATTTGGCAGGATTTCTCTGTAAAAGTGACTGAAAATTTTATACATTTTTGAAGATTAATATGTCTTTTTCTATCCATAGATTTGGTTTTTACTTTGAGGGAAAGCGTGAAACCTCAGAAGAATTATGTCTTCTACTGTCAATCCTGTGGTGATGTCATAGTGAAAGACCGGTGAGTACTGCAGTGTCTTGTGTTTATAGCAATAAATGCCATAGTGATTGGTATTTGTGTTATTTTGGGTACTTAGAGAGACAGCTAAAAAGTATTTACTTTGAAATTCATAGATGAGTACACTTTTGAAGGACTACGCATAGGTAAAAGCAAAATTAGCTGAAACAGTTTTTCATTTACTTGTTGATTTCATTCTGTCTGGAAAGTAGAAGTACCTCAAAAAAGGAGTTTGGTGCATTGCTCGGGAAGCTGGGAAATCTGTATTTTTTTCCTTCTTGTCTGCTATGCTTTGAGCAAGACATTTCCTTTTGTAGCTGGACTTCCCTATGTGAAAAATTTCTGCTTTGTGATCTATGCTTTTTTTTCATCCAGAATCTCTTTGCAGTCATCATAATAGCTTCTGGTTTTCCTGTGCAGACAAAAAGCTGTAATGTTTTAGCTAGAAATATTGCAAGTGTTCATAGTTCTCATTGATTTAAAAAATAGTCATAGTCTGTTTGTAACTGACATCTTTGCTATGTTGAAGGGAATAAAACTGAACATTTTAGCCTGGACTTCGTTCTTTCTCTGCACTTCAGTGATCTTCAGTTATTCCCAGCATCTTACAAATTCCTTTCAGTCATTGTGCTTTAGTTAAAGAGTGGTTGATCGGAATGGGGATGTTGACCACAGCTCCCTTCTATCTGTTAAGCAAAGCCAACTGCCACACAGTTCAGGGATGCTGAATTTGGGAAACACAGGAGCTGTTTCTTAGCTGTGTGGCTGAGCCTTATCTCTGTTCCTTACAAAGTGTGCAGAGTGAATGAGAATTTTAATAAAAATCTGCTGCATGTTCTGGCTTTTATGATGAACAATTTTGGCAGCTTCGGCTGGATAGATAAGAATTGTTAAAGATGCACTTGCAGCCTTTTGTGATCTGTGTCACTCCTAATTCTCAAAATGGTAATACAAATGCAGTATATTCTGTAAACTTCTGTTGCTTTCTTGTCATACATATGGATTTTGGCTGGCTTGAATGCAACTCAGTGAGGATTTCCTGGCTTTCTTTACTGAAATGTCTCATCAGAAAGTCTAGTAATAGCTCTTATTTTGGTACATTTGTAGAGTAATGAAACTTGTAATTTCTAGTCAGTAACATTTGCTTTCAAAAGATATTGCACTTCTATATTTTCATCTCTGAGTGGGTGTTTTCTTGAATTTCAGCACATCAATTTCATATGCATGAAGTTTGCATTTTTTGGGTCTGCATCCTGTAACATGCAGACAGAGTTTTTGAGAAAGTGAAAAGAAGTCACGTTCATGGCTCTTCACTTGGGATTTCTCCTTGCAAGCAACCTCTGTCACCTTTGAGTATTATGACTAAGAAATACTAAGACAGGGGTAGAAGAGTGAAGCTGCCAGTGTATCCAACACCACCTGTTCCAGCAGTTCCAAAAGGAAGACAGTACTGAAGTTAGTACTTTTAGCTGCAGAATTTGTGTGTTGGTCTCTCCAGGGAGAGGGAGTATGACAACGGCAGCACAGGCAGTGGGATCGAAGGGGAATTACAGAACTGTGTGAGAGGGAACTTATTAAAGTGTCAGTTACTAGGAAAGGGTCTGTAATGAAAAAACTGAGATCTAGAAAATGATACCTTTGAGAAGAAATTTAAATAAACGGGATTTAGTTTTGATAAGGTGTTGGAGTAGACGTAAGACTCTTGCAATATTTAAGAAGGTGCTGAAGAGAAGGTGGCAGCAGTCTTCAGCAGAAGCAGGAGGAGTTTAGGTTAAAATGATAAAAAACCCCAACAACCCAAACCTATTCTAAAGCTTTTTTTTTTCAGTGTTAAAGACTGCGTAAAGCCATCATCTTAATGATTAGATTAGAGAACTATGTTAGGAATGGTTTAAATGTAAGTGATCCCTCCTTGATGCAAGAAAATGGACTCTATACATTGTCTGAAATCCCCTGGCTTAGTCTGCTTCCTTCCATAAATGTGATAGCTCTTCAGAGGATAGGGTTATGCTCTCTGATTCTTCTCCATTACCCTCACATTACCCACATTAGAGGAAGTGATTAGATTATTTTTTTTCTTCCATGATTTAAGAGCTGCAAAGAATTTGGGATACTTTCTTTTTTCTTCCTCTCCTTCCAGTTAGGCTAAGTGTAGCTCATAGATAAAATAATTCCTTAAGGCTTTGTTTCTGTCATGAAGAATTTTTTTAAAGGATGAATGTTGTGAAAAATAAATTTCGTAAATTGACTATTATGCAATAAACCATTTCTTTAGTCTAAACACTAAGAATTTGTACAACATAAATAATCTATTGAAACAACTGATGGCAGGGGAAATCTTTTAATTACACTTTTCCTACATAAATAGCTTTAAGCATGACAATTAACTGTCAAGCTGGGCTGTCCAAGGTTGGTTTTTGTAATTAAATAAGGAGGACTGCTGTTAAAGAAATTCAGCTGGATCTTTTTTCTTTCTCTTTTTCTCTGATGGAACAAAAGAGTTGTATGTTTAAAAGTCTCCCATTACCTCCAGTTTTTGGAATTTTCAGTGGATAGGATGATATTACTGGGTTCTTTGATATTAGTTAATAATGGTGTTAGGGATTATTTTTCTTAGTCTAGTCTTATGAGGATCTCTATGATCAAATACTTACCTTAGCATGGAAGTGCACCTAAGAATTACATCCTTATGGCAGAACTCTTTTCAACTAGTGCCTAACTTATGGCCTTTAAAAATTAATTACCTAGGCTTTCTCTGTTTGGAGATAAAGCGCTGTCTCCAGGAGGAGATTCAGCCTGACTATATTGGACACTTTCAGAAAGAGAAAGTTTCTCTTAAAATTCTAAACCTAAGAATTGTTTGTCAGGCTCTGACTGTTAAGGCAGCCTAGGTGACTGTCTTAAAGTAGAAACTCAGTTGTTATTAGGAGAAACTCTGGGGAGATGAGTCCCTCTGTTAGCCAGGTTTTATTACTGTATTTAGCAGCCTCAGGTTAGTCAGCACACAGTAAACTTAAAGTTTCTGTCTTTGTCATTGTTTTTCTGGAAAGTTACATTTTTTAGTGTTACATTTTTCCAGTTCTAGGGATTCAGAATATGGCTTCCTGCTTATGAGTGGCAAAAGTCTAAAATATAGTGGAAATGCTATCTTTTCTATGTATCTTAAAGTTAGGAGGAGTCTGTTTATAAAATTCCTACTGGTTGGAGCCACTGCTTTTGTTGGGCAAGGATTCAAGATCTTGATGCTGTAGACTGGGAGGGTAAGCAAAGGGTAATGTAATGAAACTGGACATTAGTCTGAAGATTAAGGTAATCTCTGCTTTTTTTTTTTCCTCCTGTATCTAACACTTGAAAAACCATTGCTGAGCAATAACAGCTTTTTGTTGTTGTAGTGTAAAGAGCGATACCTAGGAATGAAGACTTCTTTTTTTTCAGTGCAAAGCTGTGCACTGGGAAGGTTGACTGATTATTGGAATAATCAGTCATCAGGCCAACACCAGAATTAAGGTCCCAGCATGGCAGAATTGTGGTTGTATCTCAGGCAGTAGATAAAACCACAGTGATGGGTGGTGCCAAGAGCTGATCTTGTTTAGTTATGGTAAAGTTGGGTCCGAGGACAAGTTATTCCAACTTTCATCTGCAGGTGGGGCAAGCACAGTTTAAAATGTATTGTCAGTCTAGAAAGAAGGAAGTTTTTAATAAAGATTTTACTTTCACCCACCCAGCAATACAGAAGGCACGAGAAACTACTGTGGGAAGAACTGGCATCTTCAGAAAAGAATAGTCTCTGAACTGCAGGAAAGGGAAGGTGTCTAACTGTTGGTTTAGCAGCTGTGTGTTTGTGAAGTAGCACCATAAGCAAAGTTGTATTTACAAGTTTTAAATAAGGAGTAGAATCAGGAAACTCTTTGTAAAGGATTCAGGCAACAGCAGAAGAAATGGGAACAAAAGGAAAGCATTCAAGGAAACTAGAAAGCACAGCTGTGTAACAAACAGTACAGGTAGAAAACTTGTGGAGGAGTGCACACTGTTAAAGCCATTGCCCACTGTTTTGGTAAAGGTGCTGAATTTCTTTCCAATGCCGTAGTCTTCTAGAAAACACAGACTAAAGAAGGTAAAAATATGTGGACAGTACCCTTCAATACTTTTACATTCTTAAAAAAACCACGTCTTGTGGGACCACAGAATGGAAATGTAGTCAGGAAAGCATTGATCACTCACTCATGACCAAGCTGGTGTTTATATAACCCTATGCGTATATTCTAGCTTTAAGAGTATACTTTACAACTTAAAGCAGTGATTTCAAACCTTAGCTTATAAAATCCTCTGATACTGTGTGTAACCAAAAAAAGTAAGTTAAAAACAACACCGATAACGAAAGCAAAGTCTGGCATTGGCTGGAGCAGCCTTCTTGGTCAGTACAGCTGCCCAGGAGAAAGAGATTTGGGTTTTTTTGTATGTGATTTTTGAAAGTTGAATCTGAATCTAAGTGAAGATTGCATTATCTCTTTTTATTTTTTAAATGAAGATATACTGTGGTATTTTTGTCAAGATTTTGTCAGGTACTAGACCGAAGTCTAGTACCTGACTTTGAGGGGCTTCAGAGGATGTGCACTCCCTTGCTCTGGCAGCAGGCTGTTTCTGTTGGTTTTATATCAACATTTGGTACAACAGACCTTTACAATCAGTAATATTAAATATAATTGCGAAATGCCATTTGTTATATTTTTCACGACTGGATAGAATTGTTTTATTTTTGCCATGTGATTCATTTCAAGAGAGGATTATGCCAAGTTCTGCCTTATAATCGTTGGAGATTCACCCTTGGGAAACGCTTCGTCAATAAATTGGCAGGAAACACTCAGCCATTGCTTTCTCAGAATTCATCCAAAGAAAGTGCCTTTGACTGAAAGGAGACTCAAGCACTTCTGCTGCTGCCCCCCTTCCCTCTTTTAGTAAGGAGTCTAAGTTCTCTTTCAGTGTCTTAGAAAAGAATATAATATATTGGAATATTTTTTTCTTCTTCTCTCTTAGGAAATTTCTCAGAGTTCTTCCTCTACCAAGTGAGAACTGGAGTGCTTTAGTTGAAGAGTGGTGTTGTCACGCTAACCCCTTTGCCAGAAGCACTTTGCATCCTCAGCAGGATGACTGTTTTCTTGGAGACACTTTTTCCCTGCTGAATGCGGGAGAAGAATCACATGTGCCTGAATCTCCCACGTGCTGCTCAGAGGCTGGACACCATGCTTCTCCGAGTGGCTCCAACTTGGTAAAGTATTGTGTTTGAATAATCCTTATGTAAATGTATTTGGCCTTTTTTCATTGCAAATCACCTTTTTGTCACTGCTTTATTTAACTTGTATGTATTACAGAGCTGTTTTGAGGGTCACAGGGAGTTGTTGACATTCAGTTGTACAGAAGCCAGAAAATATTCTAAACAATGACTTACATTTTCTGAAGCATGCCACAATGGTCTTAATATTGACCTAGATATGCAAGAAAAAACTTCTTCCTACAAAGTGAATTAGAAACTGTTTAATTATGTAGTTCTAAACCCAAATATTTCCCCAAAAAATATCCTGAGTGAAGGACATGAACATTTAGTAAGATAATAACTGTAATGGGTTAGGTGTTTGTCAGAAGGTAATGGAGTGAACAGTGAGGAGGAAACTGGAATTACAGTGCTTCTTCACAAACTATGACTGGATGTATAACTATAAATATGATCAAAGGAAGCTGTGATTTTTTTTCTTTCTGTTTTTTAGCTTTAGAATGACTTGGAAAAATCAGAATGTGGTTATGGTTGAGGTGTGGCTGTCTTACACTCTTAATAATATAATAAGGAAATTGAGTTTGTTTGACTGCTCTGTCCAGTGAAAGGGACCTGCCACCCCAGGTTATAACTCTTCATGTTGATTTTTCTGAGATGTTCCAGGAGGACATATATCCATTAGCTGAGTCTCTAGGAAGCCTATCATTTGGCTTAGAAACATCAAAATTTGTTGCTGCCCAGGAAAAAAACCATTTATAGGGATACTGACGTTTCAATGATGGGATAAAACCCATGAAGAAATAAATTTCAGTGCTTTACTTCTCTTGGAAATCTAGCACTTTTATAAAAGTTCAAGCAATAATCTTTTCTTCTACCAGAAGGTCATAAGGAACTTAGTCCGGCAAAGCCTCCATTTCCATAAAGTCTTTTCTGTTAATCTACTGCTTGTCTGTATTTGTGCTGACAAAGGTTGGGCCTGCAGATGCCATCTTTTCTTCCAATACCATGTATTAAACCTAATTACTGAAATCTTTCTACAATTACGGGAACCCTTGCTGCCTTGGCAACTTGTGTCTGTAACAGCTGATGATGTGGTATGTACAGATTCCCAGCATGAAACTTTTAATCTGTTGAGAAGTAATGCCAGAGACCCCAATTCCTGTCTGCTGCTGCTGCTTATCATCATTAGGGATTTGTATTATCCCCAGTTAAATCACTGGGATTCTCACAGTTCAGTGGTTGCTGGTACAGCGCATCCAAGCGAGCCATCTGCCTGGGGACAAGTTCTGTCCTGTGGTCCATATCTGCAAGTCTTGCAGCTTTGGTCCTTTGGTTTCTTGTTCCATTGTTCTTTGAAAAGCAGAATATGGGGATGGGAAAATAAGAACTGATACCCTGAAAAGATGTCAGCATGGGAGAAGCAGATTAATTAGGATTAACTCTGTGGCAATTGGACTGATTTCTTCTAAGTATCCTTAAGAAGGAGGCTGAATGGAAGATTCTGAATTTCCGAGAGGACAGTGCTTTCTACCAGAGGTCCCCAAAGTGAATTATCTCACATTCCTGTAGTCTCAAAAGACATAAAAATGGGAACAAAGGCAGGAAGAGACAGGGTGCATGGAGTTCATATTGCAGCCCAAAGACAGGGGAGCAGTCCGCCCAACACGCTTCTTCAATCAAAGAGAATGTTTGCCAGAAAAGGGTTGTTTGCGGCAGGAACATGAGAACAAAGATGTTACTGAGATGTGGATCAAACCAGGATAACAGCAGAACTTTTGAATGAGGGAGGAGGCTGTTTTCTGTCAAAGACATACAGTAGTAGTTCAGTGTGGTGAATTTTTATGTTTGCTTCCTTACACTTGTATTCAAGTTGAGAATTCTTTCCTTGTTTGTGTCAAATCCCTCTTTCTACACCTTGCACACTTAAAATGAATTCTCATTTCTGCATTTGCTTATTTCCAGCATCGCTCAGTTGCCAAGCAAATGAGCAAAACTGTATGATCCAGCAGAAACTGAACTAATAAGGAAAAAAGCCCTCATACTGGAACAGAAAATTCTTGCATGAGCAATAGAAAGCTACAGGCAAGATAGATTGCTATTGGCATAAATGTTCTCATTTCAGAGAATATTGTTACGGTCTGCCTCAGTGTGAAAGTTCCTTTTTAATTGCATTGCAGTTCTTCTGTAAGTGTTTGCCTATGACCCATATGTACCGGAGATGCTCAAACAATCTTTTCCGGTGTCCAGTGGGACCAAGATAGCATCCGTCCATTGCAAACATATTTCTCACATCTATTAGTCTTTCAGCGTAACATAGTTTTTAAATGTCAGATGGTCTTGCAGCATCCTAATAGTATCTCTTGGGGAAAATATTTTCCCTGACACCGTATCATGGATCCTTAGGAATAGAAACAGAAAATATTAGGCTGGTGATCCACCTCCATCTGCAGATTGCCAACAGCTGCAAGTTGTCAAATAGATATATTGATTTAATTAGTTGAGCTAAAACGATTGCTTTTTCCATCAAGCATGATACGATGAGTTAGCTGTGGTTTTAGGTCCCATACTGCACAGTTCTCAGCTAGCACCTCTAACTGTCGTCAGAAAAAGACTTTCAAGTTGTAGCTTTCAAGGAAGTCCTGTGTATTACATACTTGTACTGTGCAGTATTTGTGCCACCCTCAAGTGCTGTTTTTCACAAAACCCTGTCTACGTATCCTTGCTCTCCATGTTAAGCAAGTAATTTTACTGAGTATGCTTGAGAGGAGTAGTAAGGTAGGAATTGTGAAAGGGGATAACTGGGTATATGCAACAACTGTTTTTACTGATTTCCATAACAATAGTTATATCCACATAGTCAGCTCTCTGAAGCTTTATCAGGGGCTGTTGGGATCTCCCTGGAGCTTCTAGTTTGATTCCTGGTTTGTGGGGAACAAGCACTTCGGGATCATAAGTTCAGATCCCATGTGGGACACTTGCAGTTTTTCATGGAGCTAGCATGGTCCTTTCTGTTCATTTTATTATTTGCATGGTACAGATCAGAGAACGCTTAGGTTTTCCAGTGTCAAAACCATCAGTTCTGTCTGAGGTCTAGCTTTGAGAAAGACATCCAATATTAATTTAATACTTCAGATGATGGAAGCTTTATCACATTCCTTGACAAACTGTTTCAGTGCTTAAACATTCTGACTCTTTGCTGCCTTCTTATTAGATTAAATGCCCTAAGAATTGTAACTTTCTATCTCTCTTTAATGTATTTATTCTCTATAATAGTTTTTTGTAGCAGTTTTTCACACAATTTTCCAAATTTTGAACATAACTTATAGATTCATTTTTGCAGTAGTTATCTCACTAATTTTGAAGATGTTACATTTTTCTTTTTATCCCTATCAACTATTAATTTTTCATGCCTTCAGAGATCATGTTTGCCCTTTCTTTTGTAGCATCTCATTAGTAACTCTGGTTTGGCTATCTACCATCATCTGAACCCTTTTGATTTTTGCTGATTTCCAGTATGTATTCCTTTATTTTATCATTACTGGCTCTATTGTTCCTGAATACATGTCCGGCATTTGGCTATATTTTAGTACAGATTGTTAGACTAAGCACAACCTACTTAATGATCCAGACTTGTGTGTGTAACTCCTCTATCTCTAGTTTAGCCTTTCCCTATCATTGCAGCAGGAAGTACTTCCACATTCCATAGGGTAACTGAACAAATTGGCCTGGTGTCTCTGTTTCACTTGTCCGTAATCTCTTTCATCACCGATCTAATCACAGCCCACATGCCCTTCAAGGCACCTGAATTAGAATAAATCAATTAACACAGCCTTATTCAATTTTTGATTGGGATGACTGTGCTTGGAAATCTGCGCCCTCTGTAAGTCCACAGTCCACGTTCTGAAGACAGGCTGTAATGGGCATACTTCAAAACTTAGCTTTGTAAGATGAAAAGTGTACCTGACATAGGTAGGGGCACTGGATTCATTTCATGCTGCACTTCCCCTTCCCCAGTAATTCTGTGATGTGATTGGCCACAGAGCACCACTTCATGTTCTGGACATCAGTCTGACACATCATCATCATCCATTTTAAAATTTGAATCCTGAGGAGTATGATAGTGCTGATGAAGAAAAACTATGCTCCCCAAAGAGCACATATGTGTTCACTCCAGTTGGAATCCATGGGAACTGTTGCCATCTTTTTCCCCTCAACTAGTTTGATTTATTCTAAATCTAGATACAGTTTTTGTAGGCGTGTGCTGCAGTGTGATTTCTCAAGTAGATAGTGACTTCTTCGGACTTATAAACCAAGCCAATAACCCAATATTTGCTTAATTACACATGGGTATTTTTATGGACTGTATATTTTATGAACTATTGTAAAGGTGATTATACAAAGACCACATGTAAAAATCTAATTTAGGTGTCTTTTCATTACATTCTCATGATTTCTATCTCCAGAAGGATTTATTAACTCAGGAGCATCATTGTGGTTGTATGTATGTGCTGCTTCCAGACCAGAGCTGTTCTGTGCTACACCCCAGTTAATAAGCACACACAGAACCAGTTCTAGTGTTTAGACTTTGGATTAAAGTAGTTGTGCCTACTTGCATCTTTATACTGATACTGAATTTAAATACTAACACTGGAATTAGTAGGAGTGTTACTAGGGCAGATCACAAGTTCATCCAGAAATGAGGTCTTTTTCAGTGGGCAGTAATGGGTGCCTAAGAGCAAGGCAAGAATTGAGTGATGTTTTGTCCACTCTAAAGACTTCTGGAACTAGATGTTGTTACCCACATTTCTGGTTTTTAATAAGCCCTTGATGGACACTAGTGTCCCTGAATTTCTGAAGACTTTTTGAACTTACGTATACTTTTAATATGAAAAATACTTTCTTGTAGTTAGTACTAAACTATATTATACATTGTGTGACAAATACCTTCCTTTCTTTGATACAAACCAGGTTATAATTTCATAGCATGAGCTATAAGAGTAAATGTTGTTTGGCTCTTTGGCTCTTCCTAAACATTAATGATTTGATATATATCAGTGATACCCCTCAGTTTTCTGTCATTCATGCTTTGTCCCATTATGCGTATTTTCTTGCCACATGGCAATTACTCTTATTCTTTGTCAATACCTTTTCTGTTTCTGCTTGAATTGAGCTAGAGGGGTTGTCCAAGAATAGAATCCACCGCACCTTTCTGGAATATCATGCTGTGTTGTGTTTTTCAGCTGTTTATTCGTAATTCAGAATACCCTGTGGACATTTTCTGACCTCTGCTGAATATTGAAACTGCAAAACTGTTCACAGTGGCTAGAACTTTTTACTGAGTGATGGTAGTCACATTGCAGCATAATATTTTATGTATATATTTTGGAATACTTCTTTTCATGTGCCTTACTTGACCTTTATCAAAATCAAATTTACCTTGTCATTTTATCATCCAGTCACTCAATATTATGAGATTCTCCTGTTAGCTATTACACGTTATGCTGTGGGGTCAGTATCTATTGCTAGATTTTAAAACTAGTATGAAACTTGCAAGCAAGTCGAAGTGTAGAAAGCTGAAGTAGTGAATGGAAATCTGCGTGTATGAATCATAGAATGGTTTGGGTTGGAAGGAACCTTAAAGAACATCTAGTTCCAACCCCCCTGCCGTGAGCAGGGACACCTTCCACTAGACCAGGTTGCTCAAAAGACATATGTAAACATAAAGAGAATGCATGTAAATATAAAGAGAACAGAAACAAGTACAAAGGTCACTATCTGCTCTGTAGAGTATGTTAAAATTATACATTCCTTTTTCAGAATAACTGAGTGACATTTAAATGACATTTCTTTGTCCTACAGAAATCAAAGGAAAATACCAGAGTAATTTGTAAGCGCTGCAAGACAATGCTGGGAGAAACAGTATCATCAGGTATGGAATGTACAAACCAAACCAGACCACTGCATCAGCCATTGACCACTGGAGGTTAGGAATTCTGGGGGAAAGTAGTTTATCAGTAAGGTGCAGGGCTGATTCCTGTGTGTTTGTCTTATTGCCTTCTGGAACAGATCAGGTTGTTGCTTCCGCTGTTAGACCTTGAAAGTGACTGACAACAGGGATTTTCCTCATCCTTGTTTCTGTGACGTATTTGGCTAATTCTAAAGCTTCAGAAAACTCAGTGCATGATTCCATTTCGCTAGGAATGCCAGTAAAAAAGGAGACCTGGGAAATTACAGGTTGTTTATTTTGCTGTCAGTCCTACAGAATAATGGAAAGGTTAATTCAGAACTTGATCAACACAGAACTAGAAGCTAAAGATGTGATTGTTAACAGCCAGCCTGGTTTTTTGGAAAGGAAGCTTTGTCAAAGAAACAGGTTAGGTCTCATAATTTCTGATGATGGTGAAATTACTGGTTTACAAGCTGTCATTATATTGAATCAGCAGGGTTTATCTGAAGTAGTGTGAAGATGAATCTCTGGTCTTTTTTAAAATGCAGTTTATTAACGGGAGAGAAGCAATGATAAGGCTGTATTAGCAGGGGTCTTTCTTCCACTCTCCCTCTACTCCCCTGCATTAGTCACTGTGAGCCTGGCTAAGTTCAGAGATCTGGACAATATAAAAAATTCTCAGAAAATGTTTAAGAAATAAGTCATAAGGAGCTGCAAGGCAGAAGGTCTTCTGTAACAGATGGTTGATTGTCCTTTACAGAGGTTTGAACAGTACAGGCTTTAATAAAACCAAATTTGAGGTAAGATGTTTGAAAGCCCACAAAGCAGGTTGTGACTTTGGGAAAGCAGTAGTCAGAGAAGGGCTTCAGAGATCACCCTGAATAATGGAGGCCTTAATCTAAGCCTTCAGACAGTTGTTGCAACCAGTGATGTGATCAGTGGGTATGGGAAAAGGCAAATCCTGTGTAGATGTGCAGGGATTTCATTTGGACTCTGCACATGGCTGAAGCTAGACAGCATGTCCATTGTTTGACCATCCTTCTTCAGTACTTCAGGAAATGTACATAGAATTCAAAGAACAGACAAAAAACCTAACCAGAGATGTATGGTATAAGTCTGGGCAGAACCATTTCTGTAAAAAGAGACTAAGGAGCAGACTTGACTGTCATGCTTTGGTGCTTCCCCATAAGCAGATGTCCATGCCTAGAAGATAAAGCTGGGTTAGAGCAGTGTAGCTGTGGAGGCCAGATTTGGCTTTGCAATTCCACTGAAATTCCTTCCTCCAACTCTATCCCCATATGCTCGTATGACTTCTTCCTTAGGAAATCCCACCTTCTATATCTCTACAAGCAGACATCTCCTTAATTCCCAATGCCCTTGCAGCAGTAGCACCGATTTCTTGCTCTGGGTAACAGCTGGGGAGCTTGAGTGACTGCACTGGCTTCTTTTCCTCCTGTCTCCCAGGACTAAGCACAGCGAGGAGCAGACTAAAATTAAACTTAGAGGTAAAAATATAATTACCTAACAGTGAGGATAATGAAAAAAGTGTAGTACTGATCTGGAGAAGGGGTGGGATCGCCAGGCCTTTGGAAACTTTAAAACAGATCAAGTGTCTTCCTGAACTGCTCGCTTTCATCCAGTTTTAGTGGTGTGTGTGGACAGAGATAGATGAGACAATCCCTTCCACTCTTAAAATTTATAAAACTGATGAATCTTTACTGTTGTTCACATGCTAAGGCTTAGTGGAATGAATGTATTGCTATATATATGCTTAACCTGTTCTGTCAGATCTCTGGTTAGGCTGTGTTTGTAGCACAGACCCAGAGCTTCAGTATGATCATCTTTGACCTGATCTTATTGATGGGGACTAAATTCTGTGCTCAAACACTTCCATTCGGTGTTAAAGGCTATCTTGATGAAGCTTTTGGGGAACAACTACATTGAAACTCGGAATTTGTGCTGTATTAGTGTTGAGTTAGTGTGATTTTTGGAAAGAAGTTCTATTCTGCTCTTTGAGCAAAGAAGAAAATGATTCCCCTGTGTGTACTGTTATTAAAACTGTCTCTTGTGATTTAGTGCAGCATTACTGAGCAGCAGAGGGTACTAAAATACTTAGGTAAGCTATGCTGATCTCAGTGCTTTAGGAAACTTCTTCCAATTCATCTTTTGGTTTGGCTTGAGCTCTTGCTCGCTTTGTTTCAAGATGATTGTTCCCAGCGTTAAACAAGGATCAATATGAATGACAAATTGCTGATCATGTAATTAGCTCAGAGCAGTTCTCTTCTGGCAACGTGTGTTTTCTGTTATTGGTTGCTTCTCCTCCCACAAACCAAAGCAGAATTTGACCATCTCCTGCACCTCTTAATTGAGTGCTGAACAAAAGTTTAATGAGTGTAGAGATAAGTGACCTACAGTCTACTCTTAACTAGTTGGTTGTTCTGTGGTACCTGAAAAATGTTTTTTATCACTTTAGATACCATTAAATATTATGTCACCGAGGTAATTATTCGACCATCTGAGGAAAGTTTCAGCCCAACACCAAGGTAACAAAAAAATAATAATGTAATTTTCTCAGGTTTACGTTTTAGAAAGGAGACTAGAAATGCACTAACATTCTCGTTTCTCAAATAATTACATAGAATAACAAAGTGCTGCCAAATTTTATGTAATCATCACAGAATTAAGTATTGTGAAGGTAATGTAGTCTGAATTCAGTCATGTACAATTTTGTTTGCTTGTCTTTGTGTATGTTTGTGTTGATGCAGCAGAGAAGTTGTGTATAATTTGTCTCAGTGTCTCACTGTTCAGATGATAAACCATAATACAATACTTACTTATCATACTACCATAGAATAGTTTGTATTGGACTTGACCTTTAAAGGTCATCTAGTCCACCCCACTGCAATGAGTAGGGGCATCTTCACCTAGATCAGGTTGCTCAGAGCCCTGTCCAACCTGGCCTTGAATGTTTCCAGGGATGGGGCATCTACCACCTCTCTGGGCAACCTGTTCTAGAGTTTCACATTTTGAACTGTAAAAGTTTGCATGTTGTCTGGTGGCTAATTATAGAAATGGAAGGTTACGTTATGTAAAGTTAAATTAAGTAAAGCTTGAAATGTTTAATTGTAAGTGAGATTTTTTAAATTTTAAGTAATTCAGTTTGAAGACTGATATGAAACAGACCTCAATCTAGCTATCTGGTATCGTGTACTGTGTGTTAGTCACAGTTCTTTTGTGAATTATATTTGAAATATGTGCATTGTTCTGAACTTGGTGTTCGTATGTGCAAAATATAATAGGGTAGAGCTTTTATTTAGCATTTGACATTTGGTGTTGGTCAAAATAAAGGATGTGGAACAGTTTAGACTGCTGATCTATTCAAAAATTCCTGTTGCAGGAAATAAAATCCTCTGTTTTTGAAGGAGGGAGAGATAAAGAAGCCGTGATTGTAGGATGTAGTAGAACTGACAGCATGGAGATACTACTATACTTGTACTACATCAATATGAATGACTTTGCCCATGTAGTTGTTGTGAAAACATCATAAAAACATAGTATGTCGTTAATTATTAAACAGGTCTCAATTCGTACAGAGCATGGTTGCTCAGTGTCTTGTGGAATTTGCCTCTGCTAAAAGCACGTTTAGATTTACCATAAAAGGGGATAATGGCAAAATTTATATTCTGGTAAGTTTTTTTTTTTTTTAATCTTTATCTTGCTGAAAAAGTTTAACCTATGAATCCCAGCTCCTAAAATGTATTATATTTATGCTGTTCATGACTGTGTGTTTAAAGAAAATTAACAAATTCAGATTCTTGAAGTAGTTCTGAAGAGTTCTGTTCAAGTAAGAAACTTCCCTATGTTTTTAATCTAAGTATATGTACATACAAAAATTTTCTTTATCAAAGTATAACAGATGCACCACAAGTAGCAGAGAAATAACAGTGTTTTGTATTCAGAAAATATGGAAAGGTTTTGACTTTATAATATATACCTCATCTTCTTGCTCCAGTGCTTCTTATCTTTAATCACCAGGAGTTCATCAAATTGTATAGCATCTTTCACAAATATTGTCTTAAGTCAGCAGAGACCACTAATGTAGTCAGTACATTACATTGCAAAGTGAAGTGCAAACAAAAATAAAATTGCCTATTATACTTAATGTTCTGATGCTGTTAAACTTGGTTAAGCTTGATATTTAAATAGTGGCAGCTAAATTCCTCAAACTTTTAAGATGGATAGGAATCTTAGTCTGGAATTATCTTAATACTGTACATGTGGCATAACCAGGGATGTTTTCTTTTTTTCATGAACTAAATATAGGCACAGAATTTGTAATTTTGCAGTTTGTATAAGTAATTGATAGACACAAAGATAAAGAAATACGTGATTGTAGGTTCCTGCCCTGGATAGACTTATAGATGCACTTTGTTGAGGTCGGCAATCTAATGAAGTAAATTGTTTTATTTTTACATTGTCCCAGTACTATAATGTCTGAACATCCAGATTCTGAGGTAAGTGTATATCTGTTGCTTTTAAATAAATTTTAGTGCCAAGACAAAATCTGTGCAATCACTGAGGAATACTTCTTCTGTGATGATAAAATAAGGTCTCATAATTGTCACTATGTATAATCTAATTGAGGAGCCATTAAAAATTATTTTTTTTTGTAGCTTATGTGTTTCCAAGTTACCTAATATTCTGATGCTTAATTCTAGTAGCTTATATAGAACAAACTTATTTTCTGACAGAAAAATCAGGGTTTTTAGCAGATTGCCATTACCGTTTGCTCTGAGTTGCATTTTTGCCAATGAATTGATTGGAGCAGCAGGCTGCATTGGCATAGGGGCTGGCTTGTGATTGGCATTCCTTCCTTTTTATTAGTGAATTATTAGTATTTTTTTGTGTGTGTTTAACATCAGAAAGCCCTTATTCATGTTCAGGGTGAGGTTCTAGGTACTGTAAATATACCAACAGGTGTTCTGGAGTCATGGGTTAAGTCTTAGGACTCAGAGGCCTTGTGGGCACAAGTGTAATGTAAGCACTGTTTATAGTAGTGATTGCAAACAGCTAGGCAGTGAAATATGTAGGTGCTTGAGGCTGTGGGTACACAGCCAGCTTAGACAAGAGCTCTCGTCACTGATGCATCATGGACCAGCTGTCCCACTTGTTCATTTTGACGATGAGCCAAAGATTCTTATTCACAGTGTTTGTGCTTACATACATGAATGCACACAGCTTAGGCTGTGTATGTGATAATTAAGGTTAAGGTCTCTCACAAGTCGTTTTGTTTTGTTTTGTTTTTTTTAAGGCCACAAGTACTATGTGTACTCACTTTCCTTATTTCCTCTGCATGTATCACTTAACATTACCAGTTATGTTGCTTGTGGATAATAATATGAGTTTCTGTTGGTGATAACCAAGTTCCTGAAAGCTATATACTACTGCTTTGAGTGTGTTTTTTTAAAGGATGACAAGAAATAAAAGGCTCTGTCTCAGGAAGAAAAAAAAGTGATGTATACAGATTTCTTTATTTGTCCTATATCTCTACCCTCTTCACATTCTCTAAAAGATGTCTCACTGCCTCCTCTCTTTGCTTTACTGCTGAAGGGTTCCCTACCTTTAACTGATGTGACTTACAAGCGAAGAACAACATGAGGAGAGCAAATTGATGGTGAGATAGGAGAATGCAAGCAAAATTGTACATTATTGGTCAGCATAGCAGCATCTTAATAGATGTAGTTTTTTTCTATACTATAGAAAGGATAGGTTTGAAAGAGGTAAATAGGTAGTTTTGTGGATAGATACAGTGAAGTCATCCCATGGATGGGATCAAACTCATAAACCCCCAAAAGATACATCTGTGAAAATAAAAAGATGGGTGGTAGAGTTCAGAGTGTTTGAATACTAACTCCAGTCTTACAGTACTGAATGAAGGATGGCTTTTGGAGTGGGATTAGTCTGTAATGTGCTTTGAAAGTAAAGCAGCCTTCCAGTACCTGAAGGGGCCTACAAGGAAGCTGGGAGGGGACTTTTTACAAGGGCCTGTCGTGACAGGACAAGGGGTAACGGGTTTAAATTGGAAGTGGGGAGGTTTAGATTGGATATCAGGAAGAAGTTCTTCATGGAGAGGGTGGTGAGGCACTGGAACAGGTTGCCCAGAGAAGCTGTGGATGCCCCATCCCTGGAAGTGTTCAAGGCCAGGCTGGATGAGGCTTTGAGCAACCTGGTCTAGTGGAAGGTGTCCCTGCCCATGGCAGGGGGGTTGGAACTGGATGGTCTTTAAGGTCCCTTCCAACCCAAACCATTCTATGATTCTGTATCCCAAGAAAATAAATATGTAACAAAATGGGAGAGAGCTGTCAATCAGATACTGATTCTTGGACTGTGTCTTGGAGGGCGTAAGCTGAACAAGTTTGCATTTGTCAAGGTTAGAGAGGGGGATGTTGCAGTGATCAATATGTGAGATAGCTAACCAGTTCTCTTAGAGAGCTTTATTCTTTGTGAAGTATGAAGAGACCCCGTCTTTATCTGAACAGTCTGAATGTGAGGATAGAGAAGCTGTAATGAAAGATGTTTGTGCTACTGACCTGTGTGATGATGAAAGTAATGGTAATGTCTGCACTAACTAGTGAAGAACTAGAAAGAAGCAAGGAAGAACAACAGGTTTTTTTTTTTTAGCCATGCTAAAGGCCGATTGTCCACAAATTGATGCTGATGCTGGAGGCACAGGTTGAGATTTTAGGAAATTGATCACAGAACGTGAATCATAGTATTTCACCTGTTTGGATCAAGTCTGCAAAGCATAACTTTTGCAGCTTTTCTCCTAAGAACATCTTTGAAGTGTATTGACAAGTTGATTCAAAAAATGAAATAAACAAAACAACAAAAAAAACTACTGAGAAAAAAATGAAATGCTATCTCCTGATGCTGTCATTTCAGCAAAGGTCATCAATCTGCACTGTGAATGAATTCTAAACTTTACATGTTTATCTTTCTGTAAAGGTTCTTTTCTTACTGGAGTTAATATGAGAGGAATTCGGTTGTGTGGGCTCTGCTGAACAAAGTAGTAGAGAGGGAGGAAAGATTGTACATTGTGAGTAACATAGTTGAAAGCATAGATCAAAATTTGAAACTACATTAGCCAGAAATAACATGTATAAGCTGCTTTGAGTCAACACACCCAGTCTTGGTGAGTGATTGTTTATTGAACCCGAAAGCAAGATCAAAAAATAATTTGTGCATGAGGAAAAGAAGGAAATTAACTGCTTAAAGAACAAATGTAGTTCAGAAGTTGATTTTCTCTGTCCTGTGTGCTAAATTATTTATAGGGATCTGTTGCATTGCTCTTGAGACAATGTGGTGGAACGTTATTGTCAGATGACACATATCAACACTTGTGGTAGTAGGAAGTACTTTTCATATGGGCCGTGTTGTAAATGAAACAGTTTGGTTGCTTTCTGTAAAGCAAGTTGCAGAACGATTCTTAAAGGAACAGACAGCTCTTGCTGTATTACTCCATAGACTAGTTGAAGGATGTTCCCTTCTGAAAACTGTCTCAGGAGGCTCCTTTACAGAGAAATGTTAATAATTTCACAGGAAAGAGTCTCTGGTTACTTAAAGCTAAACATGTTGACAGTGGCTTGTGTGTATAGGACACTTTTTTCCCCATTTTCTCCAACACTTCTTCAACACTTGGCTTAAAGCACCGTGTGTAATGGTGCTAGCTAATGAAGTATAGGTTGCAGTTTAGGCTATGAATGTGTACAGTGAGTTACCAGACCAAAACTGATGAACAGCCACTTGCTAAGCCAAGTGCAGTTGCTTGTCATCATTTATGTGTATATGCTAAAGTGATTCTCCTCCCATCTCCTCCCAAGACGTCTTTATCAATATATCTCATTCCTCCTTTATGAAGCTTCCACTGTAATGTTCTGAGCCTTGGGCTCTGATAAATTGTGACTGTCACATTCAATTACAACATATACTATGTGTCCTGTTAACGGTGGCTTTCTCCTTCCACAGGGGATATCATATGTCTACTACCTAACATCATGTAACTTGTTTTACTTGAAGCTGATTAGGTCATGAGAAGCAGAAGATTACTCTCTAGTGAGCAGCATTGCATAAATCCTGTTTTCTATGATAAATATTTCATATATAACCATTTCATACAGGCTCAGGACTTGTAAAAATTTATTTCCATTGGTAACTCAGATCACTTCAGTACTGCAGGCTGTGAATAAAGGAAAAGCCTGTCTTTTTGAGCAGTACTTAGGATGAAAGCCCTGAATATAAGTTGGAACAATGATGCATAATAACACAAAGATTAGATAAGATCCATAATGTGATGTAAAAATTTCAGATTTCTCAAAACTCTCCGTGGTAAATATCCCATGAATTGCTGTGAGGAAGTAGTGCTGAAGAATGCCAGTTCCATTATTAAATCTGATAAAATCTTATTTTCCAAGCAAGGGTCTGTTACAGCCGTTTGTAAATCCCAGCCTTCCTTTTCGAGCACATTAATTGTTTTTTTCCTCCCATGTCATAGCTCCATACAGTCTATCACATTTTTTCTAAAGATCCTTAATTTTTGGCACTTTTAGTGGGCAGTCTTTCAGTTCCCTGTCTTTAGCCCTCAGTTGTTCAACACCATATGCTCGACTAATTCTTAAAAAAAATATGAAATTAGAGAAATACTCCATTTGGTATTGAAACAGATGACTTGGGGCTGTTTCTTTTGTTACTATGAAAGGGAATGTGCTGCAGCCACAAAAAGAGGGAGCTTCACAGAAATAATGATCTTAAGAGGGACTGTGATAAATCAGGCATAAGTTCATTTTATTAACTCATTTTTCTCCTCTAAAGGCTGTGAAGAATAATAAAATATCAATGTATGTCTGTTAACACTTTATTAGAAACCTTGCAAGAATGCGGCTTTAGTATCAGCTGATGTAGGATCAGTGTAAAGGAACAAAATGAAATTGATGTAATCTACAGTATAATAAATTATTTCTTCATTTATAGATATGGCTTTTAAATTCGGACACACTGCTGGTGGAGTCTTTAGGAAATTCTTCCTCCCACAGTGTTTTTACGCTGTTTGGAGATATTTTCCTGCCTAGCTCTGGGCCAGTGGGGACCTGGAATGCTGTCAAAGTCCTTTACCAGCCGTGCATTAAAAGCAGGAATAAGGGGTAAGTACAGCCTTTTCTGACCTCAGATTCTAATCTTTGATTTCTTTTGGATTTCAGGGCAGCAGTATTTCTTTGAGGTTCTTTGGGCAGTTCGTTATTCTCAGAGATGTAGCGCTCTGAAATTGCATACAATTCTTCTACAAGTAAAATGCCAAAGGATTAGTATTTTGGCATCTGTTACAGCCAGAGGGAATATGGTTGTTAAATTTTTGTACCATAATATTAAAATGGAGACCAATGAGTTACGTTTTTTCTGGAAACACGTGTAGATAGTGTAGGGACAACTTCTATTTGTATTACATACCTGTTCCACGGGAGAGTAATGTGCTTTTTCATTTATACATTTTTTTCCCCATATTAACTCACTGGACTTTTAGAGCTTGGTCATTTTTCTGGCTCTATTGGCAGAAGCTGGAAGTGTGATGGTGCAGTGTATCCCACAGTGGGTCAGTGAGTTCTGTCTGTACAGTCACCTGGTGTAATTTGGGGAGGAGGAAGAATTGAGGGAAGATAAGGAGCATGGGCTGACTCCTCAATGATGCTTAAGTTTAGCCAGATCTCCTTCTTTGCCTTCAATTGCTGTGTTTTGTGTGAAAATCTTATCTGTTACGTTATCTAAGGGAGTAACCCTCTCTGCACTCACACAGGAAAGACTTTGTACCTCTTAGGTACAGCTGAAATCAAGAGTGTAGAGGTGGGTAGTTACTAGTTTAGCAGATTATAACCTGCTTACTGCGACCTTTTTTGGTTTAAAATTATGCTTTGTTTTGCAAGAGAAATTGCTGTTCACGGAAATGGAATTAGTATGTTTAAGCCAAGTTATCTTCAGGACTACAGGTGTTGCCTGCTGGGTCACAATAAATTAGCATATTGATCTGTATACCCCGACAATGCACCTAACAGTATCCCTGTTAAAAGAAACTTGTGCTTGTAGCCTAGCAGAATAATATGAACAATGTTGTAAGAGTATAGCATATTGTCAGCATATAGCATATCCTCTAAAGGAAGGTCTTCTCTAGATGTGATTCGGAAGTTCATTGAGTTTTCTAATTAGCCCCTCTGTATTTAACCTTAACTTGCTTTCAGCCCATCTGGTCTCCACTCAGATGTTGAGCCGTTGACCACCACTCTCTGAGTGCGACCATCCAGCCAGTTCTTTATCCATCGAGCAGTCCATCCATGTCTCTCCAGTTTAGAGGCAAGGATGTCATGTGGGACAGTATCAAAGGCTTTGCACAAGTCCAGGTAGATGACATCTGTTGCCCATCCTCTATCCACCAGGGTCATGACCCCATTGTAGAAGACCACCGTATTCGTCAGGCATGATCTGCCCTTGGTGAAGCCATGTTGGGGTTATGTTTCCCCCTTTTCCAGTCAGCGGGAACTTCACCAGACTGCCATGACTTTTCAAATATGATGGATGTTACTGAGATAAAAGTCATATCTACTTAGTCACTTACCAAGCATTCAGAAATGCTTTTCTTGAATGGAGTTCTCAGCAGCAGAATTTTACTGTGAGATTATATTAATTTCTTTCCATTTTCCCCGATAGAATTGTTACAAATCACCCATTTCTGAAGTTTACTTTGTATTTATATTTGGGATTTTGCAGTGAGGGGAAGGCACAACTGAGGTTTTAATTCTCCCTTGACAGTAATTGGCATCTTCCCTGCCCAGTCCCTGGACAAATGCAAAAATGTAAGAGAAAGAACAGAGGGTTCTTTTTAAGGTTCAGAAACCAAAGTAACTTTTGGGTTGGTATTGTTTTCCTATTTTTACATTTCTAGGAAAGAACAGTAAAATGAATGTTAGCACTTCAGTCTGTTTCCACTAACTCATTTATCAGCTTGAAGTACGGCCTGGATCTGTGCAATAAGACTCAAGTCTTTCTGTATGTAAACACAGCAGAAGCAAAAATATCAAAACCAGTGCAGCTTATTTAATGCAACATGTTTGCATTTAGATCTCAAATATGATTTCAAGAATTCTGAACCGAGGTCTGATTTCTTGAATGGTGCAAGTTCCAAATGTTTTAGATGCCTACATGCTTATAATTATATAATTATTATATGATTATGTGTATATGGAACATATATAATAATGATTATAATACATTATTTGTTTCTGCAAGCACACCTGCCTTAGAAATAATGCAGAGGTTTCAGAGCCCATGGTCTGCTCCCCGTGAGTGGGGAGTAAGAAAGGATACCTCAAAACAGTGAGCAGGAGGTGCGCTTGTGACCTAGACCCCAGTGGTTGCAAGGGGTAAGCGAGCATTCTAATATCCTGTTGCAGCATGTCAAAGAGCCTCTTCAGTTGTTTTTGCTGGTCACGGGGTACCCTTGGATCCTGTCTGATTCCTGCAGCACCAGAGTGTGGTCTGTGCGATGGGAGGGGAAGCACCCTTCTTACCTGTGGATGCATCAGAGACTGTGCTGGGTAGCTGGTCTGTAGGTTAAGACAGATTAAGGTAAACTAGAAATAAAAGCATGTATTTATAATATCTAAACATAATAGCATAATCACACACTTGTAAAACATCGGCAAAGAAATGAAAGAAAATCTATATTTAGTCTACTTACACAAGCATAAATCCACTTGCTCTGAGATAAATACATGGCTCCATGGTAGTAGTTGAGGTCTCGGGCTTTGTGAAATTCTCCCCTGGCGAGCTGCCTCTTCTAGAGAAAGCCTAACAGGGATTGCCTAACAATTCATGTTCAGGAACCCTCTTTTTGAAGTGAACCTTAGGTTCAGATTCCTTGGAATGCACTTGAATGTTTTTTTTTGGGGGGGAGTGGAGTAGCTTTTATACGTGATCATTCTTTTCAAGACTTCTAGGATGTCATAAGAAATTTACAGTCTCTCTCCGAAACTCATTTTATTCCCTCTTTATTAAGACCACAGTTTTGCAGTTTATCATAATTAACATAACGCTTATTTCTCTTCCTCAGATATGGAAGTGGTTTTTTTTCCCTTAAACTGGGAATTATGTCCTGTTAACAACACCATGCTTCAGTGAACAACAGCCATCTCCTCTTTCTTTCCTCCAGTAAATCACTGGCATATCTATCACTGTACCTTATGTTCGGTATTACTCTAAGTGTTAACTATGCAAAGGAAGCAAATATGGGCAGGTGGGTTGGAACTAGATGATCTTTAAGGTCCCTTCCAACCCAAACCTTTCTATGATTCTATGATTTGAGTAGCATAAATGTTCATGGTTCATTACTGGCTGCTGAGTGATACCAGCCTCAATGATAATTAACCCATTTGGAGCGATAGCTGTTTGGGGATGGCTGATCCTTTGGCCTTCTGTAACAGAACTGCTATGAGTTAGGCTGAACGTTGCTGAGAAGGCGATTACCCCTTGTGCGGCACTTACCTTTTTATTGACAACATGCTGATTCATGTTCAATTTGTTGATCGGTGTTGACCATCAGATCCATTTCAGTAGATTGCAGTCTTATAAGCAGCCTTCCTCTCTATTTCTGTGCAGTTGTGCTTTGTCAAATTACATCCTAATTTTCCCTATTGGCTGTGGTTATTTTGATTTTCAACATGTGACATAGTGATGGTCCTCCTAGCTTTGTGTCATCTGTGAATGAAAGTTCCAGTCTCCTGAAGAGCAACAGAGATATGGAATAGGACCAAACTAAGAACACGTCATGTTTTCTTTCTCTCTCCTCTCCGTATAACTTTGTTTTGGCAATGAATGATTAACAGCTGGGCTCTGAGTATCCTCTCTGTGTTAGACTGTGTTGCTTAAGAACATTCAGTAGCTTTTAAGGCATTGTGAAGTTAAGACATTGTTAGGTATGTCCAGACATGCTATTTATAGTGTCGCTCTTGGCATTTCTCCTTGCAGAGTCCTAGTCCTCTGATCTTCCCGAGGGTATCCTTTAAGTGTTGTATTGATTTGTATCTTACTCCTTCAGCTCTTACACAGGGGGCTAGAAAAACTTAGGTGTGTCTTATGTGTAATACCACGTCTTCTGGGTAGGTCTGCCTACAGTTAGGCTTCTAGCCCTTGCAGGAGCTTTATGAGCAACCCTTCTACAACAAATTAGTTGAAATTACATGCTGTCATTTCTTCTAGTCACCCACAGAAAAAAGTATCCTATGAGTGTAGTTGAGTCCCATTAGAGAAGGATGCCTCATGCATTTTCTGCTCCATTCTTACTTAGATATTTATGGATCATGTGTATGTGATTATGTTGTTTCCCTTCACTTTACTCTCAGCAAGGCTCCTTTTCTCCACCTACAAATCTGCTGTGCAGACAGAAGAGGTCTTCTTTTCAAGTAACAGGTTCTTGGCAAATAACACCTTATGCAAACAACTTTGCTGGGAGTGATAATGGTAAATACTGCTGAAGAGAGAGTGTTGTAAAAATGTATGAAGAAAATTGAAAATACGGTTACATGGCAATTCGACCATAACTTGATCTGAGAAAATATATGTGAAGGTACAGTTAGAAGAAAATTACACTTTTCCCTTTATAGTAGCATGCGAGGCAAAGCTTTGTCAAAAAGTCACTGATAGCATTTTATTTCTCATATGAATCTAGAGTCTCTGAATAGTTTACCGCTTGTGCAGAAGCCTTCTCCTCTATGTAAGAGTTTGCTGCTTATCATTTGAGAGTTGAAAAATTATTTCCAGAAATTGTTCGTGTTACTAGCTTTAGAAGGACAGAATAAGCTAGAAAATTGAGTTTGTAGCTGAAAACCTGGATTTTTGAGTCTGGATGCTGGTGTTAGAATCCATGTGTAGTGAGCTGTTTATGAAGCTGTTAGTGATGTATTCCAGAATGTTGTTTATTTGTCCCAAGAATGGTTTTCATTCTGTATATGACTCTAGAGTAATTCACCTCTCATAAAGGCACCAAACTGTGTCCTATTTCACTGATTTTTGTGTGTCTAAAATAGAATGCCTTTTCCTAGTGTTTCAGTAACTCTTGCTTGTGGAAAACACATGGGAGCACACAGACTGTTCGGGGGTT